CACACACACACACACACACACACACACACACACACACACACACACACACACAAACACACAAATGTGAACCTTTAGATGACTTTGCACTCTTAGAAAAAGTAGGAGACCCTAAAGTTTGAATGAACTGCAGTGTAGTCAAAATGTCCACAACGTAAACTTTCCTGCATTATCTTTGTGTAAGGGCAGTTGTAGAGGAATATTCATTCTCAGGGTCTGTTCACACAAATTCGTTGCAGAACAGATACTTTCTACAGTGTTTGCACCTCTAATTCACATGGAAGCAGCATTTAGAAAAACACTGAGGCACAGTCCACTCCAACTAAATTGCTAATTTTATCATGACAGTTTTGATCTGATGACGATTTTCAAATCAATGCCCTGGATTTCTTCTTTTCAACCAGTCAGCTGTTGAACACCTCTTGTGGTTTTAGGTAGTTGTCTGGACCAGAAAAAAAAGGAAGGTCAAAGCATCAGTCATGCCTTGCCTCATTTGTCACTAATGTGTCAAAGAGAGGATGACATTTACAGCGTAGTGAAGTGACTGCCWTCCAGACCATCAGGCACCCCTGGGGTAATAAATGTTTACCTTTAAAATGGAGGTTTGTGGGATCAAGTTTTTATTTTATCTATTTGTTTTAGATATTTAAAGGTTCCTTTTCAAGCAGCATCATTTCTTATTTTAATAAATGGTTTTAAAAATGCTATTCAAACTTAAGATTATGGTCAAYTTTTTTCTTGTATTTGATTTTTTCTAGAAAATCTACATTTGAATTTGAAGCGATTCTATTAAATGTTAAGAGTGTAACTAATTAAACTCATTTGCTAATGTTACAAAAAGCCTTTTCATTTTCAAATTATAACACTGCAAAATCTGGATGCCAAGCATTAAACTTTACTTTTACTTTTGCTAACTGCTTTGTACAAGTGCAAAGAGATGGCTATTGTTGTAAATTGGCACTATAAAATAAACTGAAATAAAAGGCATTAAACATGGTGTAAAAGTATAATCCCTTAAATTTGGTGATTTAAAGGAGACATATCATGCTAAATGCACTTTTTTTGCATTTATAAACTATTTTTTGTGCAATTATAGTGTCTAGGAGTGTAGAAAACTTTAATTTATTCCTTCCAATTACTGCAAAGATATTTTTATAAATTTTTATGGGTCAAATTTTTCAGTTTGTTCAAAATCTGCTGTTGCTTATTTCGTTTCATTGTTTATATCGTCACATGTTTTTCTTCGGAACAACCATTTATGGTAATGTATTTCCAGCCAACTGGATTTCATATTCCACCATTTTTTTCCTCGCTGTGTGATTTTGAAGTTCATAGCATCATGCCGAATATGCAATATCAGAAGTCAAATTGTTTGTTTCTGGGGTGTGTAAACCCACATTATTATCTACATAGACTACAAGCATCAGAGTTTCTTCAAAGTGCCTGGTTAAGTTTTATTTTTCAAGGAAATGGACCCGCAACAGYGTGGAAAGTGCTTGCGGACAACACAGGATGAATGTTACAACAACAAGGGTGAGTTATGAACTGAAAATGTGTTTTAACTGTCTAATTTAGCTGTTTCTACCCTCTGTGTCGGAATACGAGGGGAGAAAGAACAGCTGTGTTTAAGCGTCTTTTCCGAACGGGTGCTCAGCACCATGTTTTACTTTCACTTTCGCCCCGCACTGTAATCAGCGTGTCCGTGTTGTTTTTCTTTTTAAAAATGCTGGTGCATTTCAAACTGTGATCTAAAGTTAACGTCAGCTGCTTTAAATGCATTTTTTGCCTGGTGTTAAAAACGGGAGCAGCAGAATGAGGCAGAGAAGCTGTGAGCGCTGTGTGTGTGAAGTCCTCATAAGGATAGCAAGATGGATGTGTTCCTCCTTTCTCTGTGTTGCTGTTTTTGCATCAAAAAAGCTGGGAACATAGTCATTTTATGTAACAAAATATATTAATCTTATTAATACACAAATGAAAACAGAATATTTAGCACTAGATATATTAAGTAATGAATTTATTTATTTTTATTTTTTTAAGAAAGGGCTGAAAGAAGAAATCCTGTGTGGCAGCACTTTATACAGCCTCTTCAGACAAGGC